CGGTATCGCCATCGGACCTCAACCCAGCTCGCACACACTGAAGGTCCCCCTGCCGCTCCGTTCATCGGGTAGCCGCGGCAGTCTCAAGCCTCAGGTTCTTTTCTTCTCTTTTCGTCTTTCTTTTCATCATATCGTACCCGGCTTCGCCCTGCCGACCCATCTGAGACGCTCTCGATGGTCGTGCAGGGCTCAGGCCCACGTTAGTACACGTGGGCTCTATGACCCGTACGACCTTTCACGCCTTCTTATTTCTTTTCGAGATCTCGCCCAGGTGCGGTTCCGGATTTTGAGACCACCGTACGAAATAGGTGTCTCAAAGGTGGACATATCCGGAACCCTGGTAGCTATTCCGTTTGGTCTCACTCGAGCGCCGGTTCAACGTTGTCAGCGACGCTCGCGACACGTCGTTCTGGCGCGTCGTCTTCCTCTTCGACACACTTTGCTCATCTCGCACGCTCAACGCGTTCCCTCGACGATCTACGACGTCTCGCGTTAACGCGTCGCTTTACTTCCATCCGATTCTCGTGTTCACCCTCAACCCGCCAGCATCAACTTCAAGCACGCTCCAGCCCCGCTCACTAGGTGCCGTGGACTTTCGTAGCAGGTTGAAGGGTCTGACTGGGAGTGGAAGGTTCATTCGGTGGCAAGCGAATAGAAGGATTTTGGATTGCGTACACGGGCTCCGTACGTTTCAATAAAATTGTTCTCTACCTTCTCTCTCTTCCACCCTTTCGGAGTGCTCGTTCGAAACGTCAGCGGCGCCCGCGGCGTTATCGTTCGTGCACTTATGTTAGCTCGGCCCTCTGTGTTTCGTTCATGAATTCAAACCTATGGTACCCATCTCGTTTGGATCCACGACACTCGTCCTTTGCACGTCCACGGTCCCCGCGACGTGTTGTTTCTGGTCTCGTTGAGCGTGAAGTCGAGCTTGTCGAAACGACGGGCTCACCACGTTATTTCATCTCGTACAACGATACCTTCCTTCCCCGACACGTCTGCGGCGCCCGCGACGTGTCAGCGTTGGATTCGTTGGCGGAGTTGAGCTCGCCGAACAGACGAGCTCCGTTGTTCCCAAAACTCACGCCTGCGGGACCGACACCGTCTGCCTTCGGGCACTGCCAGGGGTACTACCTTGCCTTGCCCGTGTTCGACGTCCTCCAGTTGGGCCAAGACGACGTCGACGTCGACGGTAGACGCCGTTGACGATGCGTCTCGTTTAGGCGCTGTTAACGTGTTCGACAACGCGTAACGTGCGTCGCACGCCGTTCGTCTCGCTCCGCACCATCTACGCTGCCTCAAGCGCAATGCCTTCGCGATTGGGCACGACGACGACGACGACGTTAGGCGCCATCGATGACGCGTCCCGTTTAGGCGCCCATCCAACAACGCGCGTTGCACGTCGTCCCCATCGTCCTTCCTTACCGCCACCACCTTCACTGTGGTGCCGTCGTCTCCTTCGCCCAGCTCGCTCGCCTCATCTCCCTCGCTCATCCTCCTCTCGGCGCCCTCGCTTGGTGACTCCTCCCTCATCACCTCATCCCTCAGTGGCCACCTCGAAGCGCGATTGGAATCGCGTTCGACGGCGACGACGACGCTAAGCGCCCGTCAACGCGAGAGCGCCTATAGGGAGCTTTGGGAATAGGAAGGAGGGATGGTGTGGCCCTCAGAAGGATCGTAGGGACTGGGGACCCAGCACCTTCGGGTGTTTGTATGTTTTTTTTGTTCTATATTGTCCATATATCCTTCTTTTTCTGTGTCATTTTCGTTCTTCTTCACTTCTCTCCGCCCCCGAGCTCGTACGATCCGTCAGCGGCGCCCGTGGCACGATCATGCGACTCCTCGTTCGTGCAACGATGATGCGTTCCCCCAACGGCACGCATCACTTGGCCCAGTCGCCGCTGGCTTTCACCGTCGGTCCCCTCGCGCTCCCGCTCTCGCCCACCAGCTGTGATTTCCAGCCATGATGATGGAGACGCTATCGTCTACGCGTTCATCAATAACGTGTGTCGGTCGTTCCTTCCGCCAACTCCTGTGGCGACACCATCTCCCTTGTCCGGCCACTCCGCGTTTCCCTCGCTAGTCTCGGTCCTCCTCGTCTTCCAGTCACTACCTGTTCCAGGATCTGGGGAGAGATCCTTGGAGGGATGGCGTGGCCCTCAGGTGGACCATTGGGATTTCGGACCAGCATCTTCGGGTGCTTATATGTTTTTGATTCTATATCATTTCTTTTTCGTTTATTTCTGTTCTCTTTCGTCCCCGCTTCGCTCTCGAGCTCGCACGATGTGTCAGCGGCGCCCGCGGCACAATCGTGCGATCTCTCGGTTGTGTCACGGCAACGCGCTCTCCCACACTGCACGTTGTCTGATCCATACGCCGCCACTCTCACATATCACCAGCTAGACCGAGTTGATGCGGGTCGCGCGCGGTTTTGGCCATTGTCACGCGCTGTATACATATGTATATTGATATCATCTCTTCACTCGGTGTTGGTTGAACATGCTGTCAGGGGTCCAGCTCACGCGTGAGCTGCCCTCGTGTGGCACTATGTGGCCCAAATCGACCACACGGCACTTTGAGTGTTTGAACATTTCATGATATTCTTTTCTCACATGTTTGCGTTGTTATCTTTTGTCTTTGCTTGCTTTTCCCCTGGAGAGTCCGCACGATCTGTCAGCGGCGCCCGCGACACGATTATGCGATCTCCCTTTCGTGTCTTGGCAATGCGCATCAGTCGTCGATCTCCTGTAATACCTTCGTGCGCTGGTACATTTGTTCATGTCATTTTCACTTTCCATTACCCGCAGCTTGGAGGCTTCGTACGACTTGTCAGCGGTGCCCGCGACACATTGTGCGATCTTCCTTTGTGTTCCAATGCCACTACCTGTTACTTACGTTATGTGGTCTTCATCTTTGTTCATCTTTGTCCAAATCCTTGTTCCTTTTCCCTTTCAGGGAGGGTGATCTACCCTTACGCCGTTCTGGGTGTCGTAAATACGATGACTCTCATATCCTACTCTGCCATTAATCAGTCACGGCCACTACGTATATGCTACTTTCCTATACATACCTCATCTGCGGCGCCCGCAATGTTGATATTGTATATCTTCCATTGAATTAATTTTTTCCCACCCACCCGTCCCGTTTATTTCTGGCTGAGTCCATCTCCGATGTTTCATGGTTCGAGATGGGACAGACTGCTTTGGCAGGTCTGGCTTGCTTGAATGGGGGGGAGCAACATTTCCGACTTGTATATTTCATCTGCGGCGCCCGCGATGTAAATTCTCATTGTGCCATCAGCTCCTTCTCTATCCACTCGCTCCTTGCTCCTTTCTGCCATGGTCGTTATCCGGGTAACTTTGTTATTCTGCAGTTGGACGATGATATGATGGGGGGGGAACAGTCTGTATATTATAAGGACTGGTGTCGAGGGTTCCAGCTCCAGCCCACTCAGCTATGAGCAATCGTGGACATGTAGCTGGGGGGGGGATGGATAGGGATAGCCTCGGAGGCATGACGTAGTGGATATGGAGGAATGCCGGAGTGGAATGGAGGTACGCTGGAGTGAAACGGAGGTATGCCGGAGGGTAATGGAGGTGTGCCGGAGTGCAATGAAGGTACACAGTAGTGGATCGGAGGTGTGCCGAAGGGTAGTGAAGGAGTATCGGAGTGGAGATGAAGGTGTTCTGGAGTGTTTATGGAGACGTGCCGGAGCATTGAATATATTGTGGATACCTCCATCGTATGGAGCTGACAGGACATAGGACGGCACTCTGACCTGCGTAAGCTGTCAGTGCGTACCTTTAGCCTGTTAAGTATTATCTCAGCCGGTGACTCATCCTCCCTTGGAGATGAGCACTTTCCTAATTTTCCACCTGAAAATTTTCGCCAAAATTTTTCTTTCATTCTTCCACCTGTGATTGCTTTATCTTTTTCTTTTCTTCCATAACCCTTTCAGCCCTTATGACTTGTCAGCGGCGCCCGCGGCTTGTCATAGGCATCCATCAGGCTTTGTCCGCTTTCATTGGTTCAACCGTTGTGCACTACGCAGTACAAGTCTGGGGGGGGGTAAGGTTTCATTTTTCAGTTCACTATTT